AAGCTGCTCCTCTGGGAATGCAGGGGGAAGAAAGCTGCTCCACTGGGAATGCAGGGGGAAGGAAGCTGCTCCACTGGGAATGCAGGGGGAAGGAAGCTGCTCCTCTGGGAATGCAGGGGGCAAAGGCTGCTGTGCTGTTCCCAGGTCAGATTGTATCCAGGTAGGAATGCTCAGCTCCTCCCCTGGGTGGAGCATCTCCCCATGGGATGATGGAATTTTCTCAGCCATGCAGGGACACTCAGTGGACATGAAGGGCAGAGATCTCCTGGAGGGAGGATTGGCTGTGGGAGAGATAAAGAAAACTGCCCCACCTGGTTTTAACAGATGGCAGTGGAATATACACCCCCAGCCATGTCTTGCATTGAAATTTAAGACTCACTTCCAGTTCCAGGTGTGCCCACTCGGTGCCCTGTGGTGGACATTAGCAGGTACTGTGTTGCTTAGCTAACTTTTTTTTTTGGTAGCTTAAGCAAGAAGTTGTTTTGCTTTTTTTTTTTTTTTTTTTTTTTTTTCCCCCCCTTTTTTCTTTTTTTTTTTTTTTTTTTTTTTTTTTTTTTTTTTTTTTCTTGAACTCTTTCAGCTTGGTTTTTGGTCTGAAATCAGACAGTCGCTGAGATGGGCCAGGACCTGCAGGAGACTGGTGGGAGCCGCTTCAAGCCTGAGGCCTCAGAAAAAACAGCTGAACCAACAAGACAAAGGACACCAAAATCCATCAACTTCTTCTGCAGTGGAGACCAATGCCAGAGGTTCAGCAGGCTCCCATCTGGCTGCTACATTAACTCTTTTTCCCCTTCCTTGAGACAAAGGGGTCACTGCCATTTGTGCCTTCCTGACCATGTGGCCAGCCAGCCTGTTCATTTCTTCTCTGAGCATTTTGAGGTTTTTTTCATTGGGTAGGGGGTAAGGTTCTGAAAATAAATATCTAGCATTTATTCAGTCTTTTTCTGTGCCTTGCAGGCACCTTGCTTTGTTAATAATCAGGATTTTTTTTCCACTTTCACCCACTAGTATTCATTTCTCCCATTGTCAAAAGGCATTACTGCAGCCCTTCTCTCGGAGGAAACATTAATCCCAGGCTGTTTTCTCCTAAATTTATCTCTAAACCGAGACAGCAGCAAAGTAACCTCCAGTCTGTACTGCACCCAGCACACCCTGGAGTGAGTCTTTGAACAAAACCTGTGCAGGAGCCCCCAGGGCTCACACCCATCCCCCAGGCCAACCGTGAAGTACAGCAGCCATTTCTGAACATAAATGAGATTATCAGGAATAGAGTATCATCATAAAATAACCCAAAGACACAGAAGCAGGGCCAAAACAGCTCCTGTTGTCAGAGGAGCCCCACAGGGACCACTGAGATAATCAGCACAATTTCAGTGTCAGTGACACCAACAAACTGTGCTGTGGGGCAGAGGTGTCAGGATCCTGGACCTTCCCCTTTACCTAGAGGACATCACCCTCTCCTTTCACCTGAGCCCATGCTGGGAAGCCCCAGGTCCATGAGAAGAGCAAAGCTTGCAAAAAGGGACCCAGCAGGGAATTGCTGAGGAGGTGAGGAGATGAGCATTAAAGTTGCTCTCCTGACTGTGCAAGAAGCTATAGAAATATTGGTTCATTTAGGGTGGAGAAGATCTCTAAGACCTCTAGCTCCAGCCATCATCCCAGCACTGCCAGATCCACCATGAAACCACATCCCTAAATGACACAGCTGTGTCTTTTACATACCCCCGAGGATGGTGACTCCACCAGTGGCCTGGGAAGCCTGTTCCAGTCTTGGACAACCCTGTGGAGAAGAAATTTTCTCTATTATCCAATTTAAACTTCCCGTGGTGCAACTTGGGACCATTTCCACTTGTCCTGTCATTTGTTATTCGGGAGAAGATACTGAGCCCCAGCTGACTGCATCCTCCTGTCAGAGATTTGTAGAGTGAGAAGGTCCCCCTGAGCCTCCTTTTCTCCAGGCTGAGCTCTCCCAGTTCCCTCAGCTGCTCCAGGTGCTCCAGCCCCTTTCCCAGTTCCGTTCCCTCCAGTGCCAAAGCCCAGACCTTGCAAACTCCCTATCCCATCTCCAGACATGGCCAAGTTCCCCATGACTGGGGTGATTTTGTGCACTAAAGCCAAAGCACAAAATGAGTATCAGCTCCAGGAACATCTGGCCTGGACTTGGGACACCCCAGCTCTCAAACCACCATTTACTAGAGCACAAAGAGATTGGAAACCAAAGGTGCAGCAAATCTGAGTGAGCAGCCTTCTCCTTCTTTGATGTGCTTGAGGAGATAGATTCATCAGAGGGCACTGAAATACATCCTCTGCTGGCAAACAAATTAGCAGAAAAGAGCCCACCCTTCTCATCCTTTTGCATGACACTAGATGACACTAAAATGTCACGACTGTGCTGGCAGCAGCCAACAGAAGGTCACTGTAAAAGGCTCACCGTGACTGAGGAAAACTGTCCAAATGCCCACACAGTTTGGTATTGAATTGCAGCATTCCCATGCAACTCAGAAAACTTCTGCAGCTGCCAGTAAAGAAAATAAATGCAGACTGTTCATTGGAAGACTTTGAAAAAAGAAAAAAGTCCTTCTTGAACTCAGCCACTCTGTTTTAACACTCTATTTCTGTATTGTTTGTGTCTGATGGAAACAAAGCTCGTTTCCATCTGCATGTTAAATTACAGACTTACAACTTCTGTGTAGAAAACACTCCAGAGCCAAGAGCAGCTACAAAGGCCAACTGTGAAACAGTAGGAAAAAAAAAAGAGTCAACACTATTTATTATTCACATATTGCATTACAAGTGTCTCTTATAAAACTCAGAACATAATTTATATTATTCATGTAGAAACTCAACATCAACAGCACATGGAAAGAAAAGCTAAATACGTGTGTGACAGGGGTGCAGTGACATCCTGATCAAACACCGAGGCTTGGGCTGACGTGCAGCCCGACGACCCAAGGGACTGAGTGCAGGAGGGACAAACCCAGTGCCCGCTTTTGCCCAGCACAGCCACACCACTGGTGGTTTGTTGCATACAGGTAACACCTTACAAAGAAAGGCCTTTAAAATCACAGTTCAGGCCTTCTGCTTTGGCTGGGTACAGCTAACACCTGACCTGACAGGTATCTGTGAGAATCAGCCTGGCAGCCTTTACCCGTGAGAACCATCCGACACCTGTGAAAATAAGAAGCCTGTACTCGTGAGAATCTGTGAAGAACAAAAGTAAACATTTGTAAAGAAGAAAGCCTTTAGCATGCACGGACATGAGCAACTACAAACCAGTGAACTGAGTTGCAATAAGTTACTAATCAATTAGAATTAAACACAATACCTTTAGGAAACCATATAAATATGATCTGTGAATAATAAAGATTGGCTATGGTGGCTGAAGAAATGTGTCTTTACTGCAACAGTGATTCTATATTGCTGTAAAACACGACAGGGATGGTTCCATGGGTACCAGCTTGCAAAGGACTGGGGAACATGTTGGGAGACCAGCCAGGCATGACCAAACTGGGTTTCAGGGACACTTGGAAGTGCATCTGTTCCAAAGGCAGAGTGACATAGATGTCCTCTCCCTGTGACCATGGATATTGTGTTCAGCATCTGAAAGACCAGTTTACAGGCAGCAATGCCTCCCTGGTCTGCTTCAAGAATGATGGAATCAGATAGACTGTTGGTAGATGCCTTTCCAATCATTGCTTCCTCTCTGAGCATCTGCAGATGTCCTTCTCCAAGTCTGTCATCATCTCTGGTGTCTCAGAGAGTCACTTCAGTTTCCTGCTCCTGAAGATAAGATGGAAAGAGGAGGAGATGAGACTGTATTCATCCCTGATTCTGACTTTTTTTTTTTTTTGTCTTAAATTTGTGGTTTTGGATATTTTTTTTCCTGAAGTTCAGAGTTCCTTGTACCCACCTCATCTAGAGGTTGTTCGTTCCCTGTGTCATCTGCCAGGTCAATGCCGCGGGTCTCGGGCAGCAGGATGCAGAACAGGGCCACCACCACAGGGATGCTCCCAAAGATGGCTTTGGGGATGGCCCGGTGGTACTGGTCCAGGGGAATGATCAGCGGGGCCAGGATCCCGGCCACCCTCGCCATGGTGGAGCACAGCCCCACGCCCGTCTGCCTGGGGGAGAGAGGGGCAGAGGGAGGTGTGGAGGCCACATCCACTCCTGCACTGGATGTGGCCCCATGGCCACCTCCAGCCATGGCAGAAGGAAGCTCTAATGTGTGGGGACATCTCACCTGAGGATGGTGGGGAAGAGCTCAGCGGCGTAGACGTAGGAGGTGGAGAAAGCGGCCGTGGCTGTGAACTTGCCGATGATGGCCAGGACGGTGATTACCACGGGCTGGTCTGAGGGGAGGAGGAGAAACCACCACTGTAACCTCCAGGGGATGGTTCATTTGGGACCAGAACTCTCTGCAGTGGGATTTCTTGGGATGGCCCTTTCTAATAGACTTGCTAATTGCAAATGATCCCCAGCATACCCTTACCTGTAAAATACCCTCTGGCAAAGGGAACCCAGATTTCTCCTGAGGCCTTGGGCATTTTCTAGCTCTGCAACTGAAGTGAGCTGCTGAGCCAGTACAGGTGTCTGGGGAGTGCTTGGTTGGAAATGCCATGTCCCTGACCTGGAAAGTACTGGGAAGCCCCTCTGTTACCTTCAGTCTCACTCACAGCCCTGGCACAGTCGCAGGAGTGGGGTATGGACTGGGGCACAAACAGATGCAAACAGATGAAAGGGAGTGAGCATTTGCTTTTTCTCTTCATCTAAGAAAGGGAGATATGGTGGCTTTTAAAGCACTTCTTCTGCTATAGCTTTCTGCCAGATGGTGGTGGTGTCTAGTGGGTGGGTGCTGTCTAATGGACACTGCCAGCCAAGGACCAGGAGCTGTGGAAGAACCAGACACAGCCCTGAGGGAGAAGGAATCCAAGAAGGAATCCAAGCCAGAATGTTGGGGATGAAGCAGCCTGGGCTGTGACAGTGGGGGCAGCTGAGCCTGTGGGAGTGATTGTGGGTCTGCCAGGATGGGAGGATGGCTCTGAACAAGGGAAGGGATGTGGAGAGCACTGCCCCGCTCTGCCCACAGGCTGGGAAGGTTCACCTTCAGGGATGCCAGTGAGGATGAGACATATCAGGCCAGCCAGCAGCAGGAGAATGCCCTGCACTTTCTTCCTCCCAAACCACTCCAGCAGGAAAATGCAGGAAATTCGAGCTGGAAGCTCCACTGCCCCAAAGGCCAGCTGTGTCAGGTAGATGTCCAGACCAAAATCTGTCACGCTGAGGCTCAGCCCATAGTAGACAATGCTGTCTGCAAACCTGAAATTCAAGGAAAGTGGAATAGAATATGTCACCAGATGGTTTTCTGGGGGTTTGTAACCAAAAATTAGAAAGGTTAGAACACATGCAACTTATTTAAATTCCTAACAATCTCTGTTTTGGTTCTAGTCAGCACCTTTGACCGTTGTGTGAGACATAGTTGCCAGAGAAAAAGCAGAATGGATCTCCATATGGTCAGAAAATTCTAGACTGAACCCAAAGCTTTTAGATAGGTGCAAAACTCCTCCAGGGGCCAGGGATTACCCAAGCTGGAATTACTCAAGCTTTTCTAACAAAACCCACAGTATCATGGATAATGATCTTCCCATGCCAGAACATGGTAAATCTGGTCCAGTTTGTGGAGGTAGAATGAGAGCAGATAAAGACATACACATGTATGTTACCAGAAAAATTACTTTAATTTACTGTTCTTTTCAACCATCAACTTATTTTCTTTCACTTACAAGTTTTGACAGGGGAGACCAGGGAATGTCTTACCAGGCACACGACATGATTAAAGTCACGTTCCGCATGTGCTTCTTCCTAAAGAGATCCAGGAAACTTCCAGACTTGACCTCTTTCTCAGGCTTCAACTTCCAAACACAGAAAATCAAAGAGTCAGAGCAGGAAAAGGAAGCCCATGTCCAGCTCCTTTTCCACCCGCAGTCCATGGAAAGCCACGGAGGGGCAGGTCTGTGACCCCCAGTGCTCTGGGAGGGAGGGCAGCCCCACTGTGCTCTGGGTGCCCAGCACAGGGGTGGTGACTGAGAGGTTCCTCAGGATGAACATCTGCCCAGTGTAGGAACTTTGTGATCAGCAAGGAGGGAACTCCCCTTCAGACATTTCTGTGTGGAAACCCACAGACTAAACAGACTCTGTGCTCATCAGTCACACTCCCAGAATCCTTATGGGAGAAAAGCCAGGCAAGCATTTCAGTCCCTCCCACATCCCCAGGTGTGCCCCGGCAAGCTCCAGGCTGAGCCTCAGCAGAAGCTGGGCCTCTTCCCTGACCTCATCCCTGTGGAGCTCAGCTGAAGCTGGAGTCACCCCCAGGCCATGCCCAGACCACCCCCAGTGGGAATGGAGAGATGTTTCTGGGATGAGCTGAGCTCCAGAGGTGCTGCAAGGCCCAGGGCAGTGTCTGAGCACAGGAACCCCCAGTACCTGCTCCAGGAGCTCTGGGGGGAGGCTGCGCTTGTTGGTGGCGGCCGCCTTCTGCAGCACCTTCTTGGCTTCCTCGATCCTGCCCTTGGTCACCAGCCAGCGAGCTGACTCTGGGAGCACCCTGCCAGGAGAGGAGGCCAGGACATGCTGCTGTGTCCTGCTGAGCTCCCCACAGCCCCTTTCTCTGGGAGCACGTCCAGCAAGGCCACCACACAATCACACCCCGGAACCACAGAATCGTCTGCAATGGAAGGGACCCACAAGGATCATCAAGCCCTACTCTAAAGTGAAGGGCCCATGGGATTAATGGGTCTAAACACCCTAAATTTAGGCTCCCAAGGCCACATTTGGAGACCTGAAGGAAAGCAGCTGCTGCTCTCAGCAGCCCAGTGCCCAGGGAGATGTGCTGAGCTCTGCAGCAGCTCCTCCAGCACCCGCACTCCAAGGGGAAAGACCCAGCTTGGTTCTGAGCTGCTGCCTCCTCCTCACTCACACCCCTCACATCAGTGTTCTGTCCTTGTGAAGCTCTGCCCTATCCCTCCTTACCAGATGTAGAAGACAAGGGCAAACATAGGAGCAGATCCTGCAATCTCCAGCAGCCTCCAGTTGCGAATTCCATAACTTAAGGCAGCCACCAACATCTGCCCGATGGCGAAAGCCGTGTGAGTAATCAACAGTGCCTTTGTCCGGTAGGAGATACCAACCCATTCTGTAGCTGAAAGGAAAAACAAAGGTTCAGGCTTTTTTTATTTTTTAGGCTCTCTTTTGTTATTGTATCTTGTGAGGCCACATCTGCTGCCTCAGGGCAAGGGCCTCCCACTCACCCAGGGATACAACTGTAATCATAATTCCTGACAATGCAGCTCCCACGACACACCTGAAGGCCATGAACACATAGAAATGGGGCACAAAGGCAATTCCCAGGCCAAATACCCCCTGGATGAGGATGGAGATGAGAAAGACTGGACGCCTGCCTATCCTGTGGAAGAAGAGGGAAGACCCAGTTAGTACCTGGAGAGACCCCAAGGGGAGAGGAAAGAGCCCAGGAGGGATGCAAAGTGATTTGAGACCCAGAGGAGATTTGACATCCTGTTGAACATAGCTCTTCTATACACCCCAAGAAATAATGTGCAGAAAAATCAATGTCTCCAGTGTTGACCCATCATGGTTCTGGCAAAGACTGAGACACCAGCAGGGGCTAAACTTGTGATTCCTGAAGAACCCCCCCAACAAGGCTGTATCTGCCTCTCTTTTCAACCCTCAGACATTTCCAGACCTCTCAGGTGGGTCCAGATGCCCTATCTCAGGCAAGGGGATTGCATCCTGTGAAGGGAGCAATGCATTTACAGTCTGCACCCGGATCTGGGCTGTCCCTGGGTGCTGGGCAGTGTCTCTGGGAATGAACTGTGTTTCCTCACCTGTCACTTAGCATCCCAAAGATCATGGCTCCAATGAGAAGCCCAGCCATGTAGATGGACTGGGAGACATCATTCAGGACTGCCCTGTCACACACCAGGTCAAACTGGAGGAAGGAAAACACAGATGCTGTTGCTTTTGACAGACTCCAGCTGCTGTCTGGGGTTGGGCAGCCTTTCTGGTTGATGGTGGATCCAGGATTTGGGTGCCTGAGCTCTTGCTGCAGCCCCTGGGAGCAGAGAACCCCTCACATGGGCTTGAGCCCTTCATGGTGAGCACTTAGGACACCAGTCAGTGATGGGATGGGCACATGAGGTCCTCAGCATACCTCTGCATGCTGGTGCCCATCCACTGGATACTGGGATATGCAGGATTCCCCTCCAGCCCAAAGGTCCCTGAGGGAGCGACCTGGCTGTCAAGTTTTATTTAAAATGTGGCCTTGGGGTGAGATCTGTATCAGCTTTCTTCTCTGGCTGAAAAGGCAGGGCAGAAAGAGGAGAGCAGTGTTTTTTACTAATAAAGGAGGACTGGAAGGGGAAGGGATGCAGCTGCTGACACCTCCAGAGAAGCCTTGTCTGAAATGGACTTGGTGCTTCAGGGACACCAAAGAGCTTTTGAAAATGCCAGAGGCTGGACTTTCTCCTCTGTCCCAGCTCTGTGGAAGGTATGTGTGAGAAAGTGTTGGAGCTGGCAGGTAGGAAAGGAGGGAGAAGGCATGAGGGAAAGTGAGAAAAGACCAAAGGTCCTCAGAGAGAGAATCACAGAATAATGGAATAATTTAGTATGGAAAATACCTCCAATAACATCAAGTACAAACTTTGACAGACCACTATCCTGTAAACTAGAAGGTGGGAGATAAGGCAGAATGGAGAAGTTGAGGATGCTGATAAACAAGGCTTTTGCTCAACTGCATGGGCCCTGGCATGTCTTGTTGCAGCATTGAAGGTTTCTGGAGGCCCAAAAAATATCAATGACCAGCACTTGGAAGGCAAATGTCTTTCACAGAGAAGATGATGTGAGTAGAACCAGGCTGAAGAACAGGGGATACTGTGGCAGGGATGCCCAAAAGGTCTCTCCAGGCAATTACATCATAAAGTCAAAGGTCTGGATAGTGGAAAGGGGACGGATGGTGGACAGAACATGTGCTGGACTCACAGCCCCATGGTCACTTCATCATGGCCTTCCTGTGACAAGCTCCCAGGGATTCCAGCTGCCATCTGTGTGATGTAGGCAAAATCCTGCAGTAAATCTCAACCTGACTGCACCACAGCTGGCATTGACTGACCAAGCCACAAGTCAGGATATTCCACCCCCTCCCACCACAGCTGACCCTGGCTGACCAAACCACAAGCTGGGATATTCCCATCCCCTCCCTATCCCATCCCAGCACAACAAGCAGCAAGTACAGACCTCGGTCAGCAGGGAGGGTGGCTGTTCTGAGGGGTACACCCAGCCACTGCTGCACTTCTGCGTGTCGTTCAGTCCGTAGGCCAGGATGGCATCGAGCTCCCAGTCCACCGGGGAGAACATGGAGCACTGCTGGAACTCCCCGTCCGCGCCGCGGGGCAGGGTGAGGTTCAGCTGCTCTTCCTCCGTCAGGTTGGGGCCCACGGCGCGGATCCAGCTGGTGTCACAGTGGTGAGGCACTTCCACAACCATGAACACTTGGCCAACCATTTGGAAAGGATTGAGAAGTAGCGGGAGGGAGAGGAGCAGGATCAGCAGTTTCTGATAGAGCCCACACTCCCCCAGAGCACATAAAAGATCCCCAAACTCAGCCATGGCCAGTGCCTCTGTGGCCAGGCTGCACTGGTGCCTATGGCTTAAATAGGCAAATATTAATGTTTAAACTGTGTGAGCACTAAAGCCCTAATCCAGTGTGATAAAATGAGCACCTGGACTGGCACACCAGTCCATATTATGATGATACAGTGCAGTGCTCCAGGCTGCACTTTGTCACCAGCCTTTCCCTCCCTGCTCTTGGGAATAGAACAAAGGTGCCAGAGCACTGCCACTCTTGGAGACAGTATAGTGACATCTTGTCCTTCTCCAGCCTGACAAGTGTCACAAGGCCTCCTGAAGGCATCTGTGCTGCAGCACAAGGATTTTGTCTGAGGTATGAAGTTGGGATTCTACAAATGAGGGTTAATTTTGCTGGGGGTGGGGATGCAAAGAGAGTAAATTTGCTGTTCCCATTAATGGTTTAATGACTATATAGAGCATCCTGGAGACAGAGATATGTAAGAGAGTATATGAGAGAAGCAGAAGAGCACTTCTCCTCTGGACCTGGAAATATATCTGGTAGTCTAATAGACTTGCTCTTGACAGCTGTGTCCCAAGCTCTCTGTTTTCATTTGTAGAAACCCTGGTTAGTCATAAAACTAGATCTAAACTACAGTTTCTGTGTGATAATCCTAAAATAGACCTAGTTTAGAGAGTACCCTCAGGGAAAGCAGCAGGTTACACGCACTCAGAGCACACAGGATTTGGAAAATGACACCAGCTTGGCTTTGCCTGAGGTTCTGATGTCACTTGAAAAGCAGATTGACCTGATTTCTGCTGCACATCTGAGCTGCTTCCTGGGTAGAATCCCTGAGTGGCTTGTGTCTTTATTCCTGGCTAGCTGGATTGCCCTCAGTGTGTGACATTTTGTGTGTAATTTGTCAAAAGTTGGTTTTACCAGAGCTCCTAGCTGCTTTTACCAGAGCCATGAGCACATCACTGATGTGCTCATTTCAAATCTCCTCTCCAATGCTTTGTTTTTCACTCTCAATGCCCATAGTATATGTAAGCCTCTTACAAAGTCACTCCTAGGTCACACAACCTGGTCTGGTGTTTCATGAGTGGGAATAGCACTGTTGTGCTTATGAAGTCAGTAGAGCAGAAGAATATTTTATTTCAAAGCATCACCCCTCCCTAAGCTGGAGTGGGAGAGTGAGATGATACTGGTTAGTGCTGTTCAGAGTAAAGGAAGGGAGGAGTAAATGTTACTTAGAGTTGTGTAAATTCACACCAGTGCTGTGCATTTATCACCTGCACACACACCACACAGCCAAACATCACTCAGCTCTGCATCCTCATCCTTGGATGAGTGGACTTGCTGTTATTCAGAGAAAATCCCTGAACAGGGGCCTGAGCTACATGATTTCCTGAGATTCCTTTTACCCCAAATGCATCTCTGGCCTTTTGGTGGGATGACTTGGCCAAGGAGATCTGCTCTGGCAGAGACATTTTGTCCCTGTCCTGCCTTCTCTATCAGCGTGCAACAAGCTCAAGTCTTCAGGCTCACCCTGTTGTGTGTGGCTCATGGTCTTCCCTGCCATTTCTCAGCCCCCAGCTGAGGAATTTTCTGTGGCAGAGGTCCAATTTATGTCTATAAAACCTCCTTGAGAATGACCCAGACCCGAGTGAGTGCTAATGCAGATGTGACTCCTTCCTTAAAGCTCTTCTTCCAGCCATGACCAGACAGGCTCTTCTGAAGCCCTGGGAAAGCTTCAGTCCTTTGTCACCCTCAGATGACATTTCTCATGGAAAGATGTCTTCATAACTGTCTCCATCATCTAGGGCTGAGCGGGGCAATCCCACATGGTGGAGATCTCTCAGGGAGGAAGGCTGGGACAGTCCTGCAACTGCTCTTTGCTGCAGCCCCACTTGTGGGGATGCTCTCTGTCCAGCAGCTCTGCCCAGGTGGATCAGGAAGGCTTGCAAAGCCTCCTGAAAATGGAGAAGCCTCTGTCAGGGGCATCAGAGACCAGCAGGCCTCAGGGAAGGCCAGGACTGGACAGCTGGAAACCTGTACATCCATGTCAAGGACAGGGGAGGGGGAGCGTCCTAGAGAGAATTTCAGGAAGAGAAACCATTCTGGGAATGAGGCCTAGTGCAGGAAATAGAGCATTGATGCATTCATTCATGACTTGGCTTTTCTTACATCAGGAGTGGCAGTGGCTGGAGACCCCTTTGGACACCTCTGTTTTGGGCTGAATGGTGGGGAAATGGATTCCTACCCACTGACTGTGGTGTGTGGGTTTATGGGTGTCATCTGGTAGTGACATCTCATCTGGACCACCACTCTGAGCCCCTTTGCACAGGTGCCAGGGCCACCCACTTCCCACAGCTCCAGGGAGAGGTGTCTGATCTCTGAGCCTCCTCTCCACCACCAAGTGCTGCCTGGCCAGGTTTCAGGCACAGCTCTGAGCCACCAGTTCCTTTACCCTGAGCTCCTTGACCCACCCCAAGGTGAGACTGACTTCAGCATTTGAGGAATCATATAAATTTCAATGGTATCCCTTTTTTCCTTGATTTATGCTGATTGAGCAGTTTCCCTGCACAGAGCACAGATACTGCTTTGCAGTAGATGCAGTCATTAAGCAGCTTTATTCCTCCAGCAGATCTGACAGAGCCAGGGTTATTTTGGCACTGGTGAGGCAAAGAGATTGTTGGGGTACTATTTAATTTAATTTAATTATTTATTTTATTTATTATTGTATTATTTTATTTTATACTTCATTTCATTTTATATTTCATTTCATTTCATTTCATTTCATTCTATTTCAAAACTTAATCATTTTAACACCTTTATCTTTGTTTTTTTTTACAGGCAGCTGATTAAAACATGTGAATTGATATGCTCTATGACCCTCTTCAGAGTGCACATGTTCATGCTTTCACCCTCTGGGCTTTCTCTTGAGCTTGTTTATCATGAGTATAATTGTTAACTCCTATAGCATTTATGTTATGTAACTTATGTAATACATATGCAAAGGGCACTCAGGGAGGAGCAGAGAGCAGTGGCACAGGGAGAGCAGATTTAGCAATGTCCCCACACCCCAAGACTTCAAGACACCAGGGTTCATTTCCCTCCTCTGCCCTTCTGATCTTGGCAATCTCATTTCACTTTTCTTAGCTTATCATTGTACAGCTGATTTCAAGAATCACTTTTGATCCTGTATCAGCAAACTTGTGCTGAAGGGAGGGTTGTGTGTTTTTATTTAATATATTTTTTTAACCTATATAAAGAACTCCTTCTCTGAAAGGTCATAATTTAACATCTCCAGGTCTTCGGAAGACAGACTATCATAATCTTCTTTCTCTCCTGATGTTTTTCTGCTCCTGTTCCTTTTTTCAGAAGCCTCCTGGCCCATTTTGCTTGAATCAACATGAAAATGATCAAAGACACCCTGATTAGAGGTTTCAGAAACACAGCTGCTGAACATGTATGTTAAGGGACAATTGTCATCCTGTGTAGGGAGATGCTTTTTTGTGGAGCCTTCAGCACTGAGCCCCATTCCAAACATTTCTTCTGCTGCCTTTGGAGCCTGGCCTTGTGCATCCACCTGCTGCAGGAGTTCACAGCTCTGAATCCCTTCCAGGTCTCTCATATTAATCTCATCCTGCCCATCAAGAAGTGAGAGGCTGGAGGTGTCCCACAGCTCTAGGGAGATGTTTGTTTCTGATGAGATTTCCTGGAATAAAGCTGAAGGATTTGGATCAAAGAAAGGTGGAGTTTCTACCTCTGAGTTTTGCAAATCTGAATTTGGAGTTTCATTTGCTACACTGGGGAAATCTTGTCGTCCAGAAAAGAACAAGTTACTGTCCCCCAGAAAATCCATGTTGCTGAACTGAATCTCGGCATCCTTGGGTAACTCTTCTGAATTGCCTGGTGAAAAAAGTATCCCATCCTGTGCCACTGTGTCCTGGGCATCCAGGCTCAACAGGTTCTGGGTTCCTGGCAGATGAGCATCATGGTGATTCCCTTCCTTGGCAAGATTTGTGCTGTTGTCAGCTGCAGGCACAAGCTCTGGAGGAAGCTGTAGAGGGTTTGTTCCATGATTTGAGCTTCCTGCAGTTTCTTTCTGACTTTTCTGTGCTGGCATGAGAGGGGGCCAACAGCTGTCGTGTTGCTGCCAAATCTGACTATTTAAAGACTCTTGGTCATGAATGTCAAGTTCAGTTCTCTTATATTTATCATCATGTGACAGGGCTGTGCTGGGAGCTGGCAGCAGGACATCAGTCTCCTTGCCCTCAGCAGAGCCTGAGACTCCTCCAGAGCTGTTCTGGATGTGTTTAGAGAACACCTCCACCTTTCCAGGCTGTGGCAGCTGATCGTTCTTCGAGGCATTTTGCTTTGCTTGGTTGCAGGAGCTGAGGAGGCCCTGGGTCTTTTCTGTCCTGCCATCAATATTTGCTTGTTCCGAGGATCCTGCAGGTGTTTCTGCTGGACTCCGCTTCTTCTCTGAGGAGTGACCAAACAAAGTGGCAAGGGCTGACTGGGGTTTTGTGGGTTTCCTCTGGGTTGTTGCTTCTTTCCTGGGAGTTCTGCCTTTGTCTTCAGAGCCAAAAAGGGTAATGAAGGGGTTTTTCCCAAGCCTGAAACCTTTACCTGATATCTCTCTACAGGCTTGGCTGCTTCTGGCCTCCTTGCTCTGGGTCCCAGTCTGTGGCATAGTGCTTTCCCCTGGAAGTTTCAGATCCACTTTTTTTTCTTCTGGATGGCCTCTGCATTTGTCCAATGATGTATTTGGTTTGGAATATTCTGATGTCTTGGCTGGTTGCTCAGAAATGTGCAAGGTGTTTTCACTAAGAACTTCCCTGGATTCCTTTGACTTGGGGTTGTTGACTTCATCATGTGAGGGGCAAGGGGCACAAGTTCCTTTCAGAGTTGTGTCTCTTGGTACTAGAAAATCCTTGCCAGATGATTTAGTATCGTGTCTCCAAATACCCTCATGAGCGTTACTTTTCAGTGGGCCACTTGTGTCCTGAGGTTCTGTGTCTTCTAAAGAGGA